ATTGGATATGTTTTATAGCAAGGGGAAGTCCTGCAGGACTTCTCCAGGACTTCCCCCATCCTCTGGAACTCCCTACCCCAATCCATCAGACTGTCACCTACCCTCCTCACCTTCAGGCGCACCCTGAAAACCCACCTCTTCAGGGAAACCTACCCCACCCTCACCTAACAACCGATCTCCTCCACTCCTCCCGCCACTCCATCCCCCACAGCCACTACCCCCTCCCTCCTAGATTGTAAGCTCCAAGGATCAGGGCCCTTGAACCCCTCATGTTTTGTATTGTACTGTCTTGTCTCATGTTCTGTCCCCCTCGCTAATATACAGCGCTGAGCATACCCTTTGGCGCTATATAATACTGTATAATAATAATAGCAAAAAGTAAAAAATATAGTTTTTTTTAAATTGTCTTTTTTTTTGTTTATAGCGCAAAAAATAAAAACCGCAGAGGCGATCAAATACCACCGAAAGAAAGCTCTATTCGTAGGGAAAAAAAGATGTAAATGTCATTGTGGTGCAGCGTTGCATGACCGCGCAATTGTCTGTTAAAGTAACGCAAAAAATGGCCTGGTCAGGTCGGGGGGGGGGGGGGGGGGAATCCTCAGGAGGGAAGGTGGTTAAACTCCTCCTCCATATTCCATATTGATATCTAGAAGGGACGCTATGCTGGTTGTATAATATCAGGTGAGGTGCCGTTCCTCCCGTGTGCTCTTCCTGAATGATTTACAAGTCCCTGAATCATCCCTCTATTGTCTCTACCTGTCCTGACCTACAGTAGTTGCAGGTAGCGTCCCCCCCCCCTTTTCTCGTACACAATGGACTGTTCCAGGTGAGCTGTCATCAGGACTGGCTCATCCAGTGGAGGTGTCAGGTGAGGCCCGGCAGGCGATGTGTTCATTCCAGTCTGACGAGCGCACAGTCGTCTTCTCGGGATCGTTGTAGGGACACTGCCGGCCTTACAGGTGAGACGCCGATCCCACCTACCTGTCTGACGGCCGTGTGACCTGCCAGGGACCTCGTCTTCTACCTGTCATACGCAACACACCTAGACCATTAACATGAGACGGCGATAAGATCTGACAGCTGAAAGATCCGACGGCTGAGCTTTCCAAACCTTCGCACACGTTTATGGTAAGATCTTATACCAGGCTGGCCACACACTTAACAATCAAATTGTACAATCTCAGAGCAATCTTCTTTATATTTACAGCACGAGGGCCTACCTAAACCAGGGACACCAAATTCTATCCTTAGGATTGGTCCATACCTTGCCGGTGCGACCAATGCGTTCTGTATAGGGCAGCCTGTTCAATGTAACGGGCTGTGCTATGGGGGCGAAACACGAAAAGGAATCCCCAGACTCTTATTCAAAAAGGTGACGCCACAGAGCGGCATGACGCTGCGACGCTGTTTGGTTTGGCGTGTGCGGAAACGCAGCGCATTACCAGTTCCATTCCCACGGGTGTTCCGTATGTCCGTTTTTTTCATCTGTGCATTCACTATATCTGATCTCCCCGGACCCTGCATTCACTATATCCGCTCTCCCCGGACCCTGCATTCACTATACCTGGTCTCCCCGGACCCTGCATTTACTATATCCGCTCTCCCCGGACCCTGCATTCACTATATCCGCTCTCCCCGGACCCTGCATTCACTATATCCGCTCTCCCCGGACCCTGCATTCACTATATCTGCTCTCCCCGGACCCCGCATTCACTATATCTGGTCTCCCCGGACCCTGCATTCACTATATCCGGTCTCTCCCCGGACCCCGCATTCACTATATCCGCTCTCCCCGGACCCCGCATTCACTATATCCGCTCTCCCCGGACCCCGCATTCACTATATCCGGTCTCCCCGGACCCCGCATTCACTATATCCGGTCTCCCCGGACCCCGCATTCACTATATCCGGTCTCCCCGGACCCCGCATTCACTATATCCGGTCTCCCCGGACCCCGCATTCACTATATCCGGTCTCCCCGGACCCCGCATTCACTATATCCGGTCTCCCCGGACCCCGCATTCACTATATCCGGTCTCCCCGGACCCCGCATTCACTATATCCGGTCTCCCCGGACCCCGCATTCACTATATCCGGTCTCCCCGGACCCCGCATTCACTATATCCGGTCTCCCCGGACCCCGCATTCACTATATCCGGTCTCCCCGGACCCCGCATTCACTATATCCGGTCTCCCCGGACCCCGCATTCACTATACCTGGTCTCCCCGGACCCCGCATTCACTATATCCGCGCTCCCCGGACCCCGCATTCACTATATCTGGTCTCCCCGGACTCTGCATTCACTATATCCGGTCTCCCCGGACCCCGCATTCACTATATCCGCTCTCCCCGGACCCCGCATTCACTATATCCGCTCTCCCCGGACCCCGCATTCACTATATCCGCTCTCCCCGGACCCCGCATTCACTATATCCGCTCTCCCCGGACCCCGCATTCACTATATCCGCTCTCCCCGGACCCCGCATTCACTATATCCGCTCTCCCCGGACCCTGCATTCACTATATCCGGTCTGCCCGGACCCCGCATTCACTATATCCGGTCTCCCCGGACCCCGCATTCACTATATCCGCTCTCCCCGGACCCCGCATTCACTATATCTGCTCTCCCCGGACCCCGCATTCACTATATCTGCTCTCCCCGGACCCTGCATTCACTATATCCGGTCTCCCCGGACCCTGCATTCACTATATCCGGTCTCCCCGGACCCTGCATTCACTATATCCGGTCTCCCCGGACCCTGCATTCACTATATCTGCTCTCCCCGGACCCTGCATTCACTATATCTGCTCTCCCCGGACCCTGCATTCACTATATCCTCTCTTCCCGGACCCTGCATTCACTATATCCTCTCTCCCCGGACCCTGCATTCACTATATCCGGTCTCCCCGGATCCTGCATTCACTATATCCGGTCTCCCCGGACCCCGCATTCACTATATCCGGTCTCCCCGGACCCCGCATTCACTATACCTGGTCTCCCCGGACCCCGCATTCACTATATCCGCTCTCCCGGACCCCGCATTCACTATATCTGGTCTCCCCGGACTCTGCATTCACTATATCCGCTCTCCCCGGACCCCGCATTCACTATATCCGCTCTCCCCGGACCCCGCATTCACTATATCCGCTCTCCCCGGACCCCGCATTCACTATATCCGCTCTCCCCGGACCCCGCATTCACTATATCCGCTCTCCCCGGACCCCGCATTCACTATATCCGCTCTCCCCGGACCCCGCATTCACTATATCCGCTCTCCCCGGACCCTGCATTCACTATATCCGGTCTGCCCGGACCCCGCATTCACTATATCCGGTCTCCCCGGACCCCGCATTCACTATATCCGGTCTCCCCGGACCCCGCATTCACTATACCTGGTCTCCCCGGACCCCGCATTCACTATATCCGCTCTCCCCGGACCCCGCATTCACTATATCTGGTCTCCCCGGACTCTGCATTCACTATATCCGCTCTCCCCGGACCCCGCATTCACTATATCCGCTCTCCCCGGACCCCGCATTCACTATATCCGCTCTCCCCGGACCCCGCATTCACTATATCCGCTCTCCCCGGACCCCGCATTCACTATATCCGCTCTCCCCGGACCCCGCATTCACTATATCCGCTCTCCCCGGACCCCGCATTCACTATATCCGCTCTCCCCGGACCCCGCATTCACTATATCCGGTCTGCCCGGACCCCGCATTCACTATATCCGGTCTCCCCGGACCCCGCATTCACTATATCCGCTCTCCCCGGACCCCGCATTCACTATATCTGCTCTCCCCGGACCCCGCATTCACTATATCTGCTCTCCCCGGACCCTGCATTCACTATATCCGGTCTCCCCGGACCCTGCATTCACTATATCCGGTCTCCCCGGACCCTGCATTCACTATATCCGGTCTCCCCGGACCCTGCATTCACTATATCTGCTCTCCCCGGACCCTGCATTCACTATATCTGCTCTCCCCGGACCCTGCATTCACTATATCCTCTCTTCCCGGACCCTGCATTCACTATATCCTCTCTCCCCGGACCCTGCATTCACTATATCCGGTCTCCCCGGATCCTGCATTCACTATATCTGGTCTCCCCGGACCCTGCATTCACTATATCTGGTCTCCCCGGACCCTGCATTCACTATATCTGGTCTCCCCGGACCCTGCATTCACTATATCTGCTCTCCCACAGTACACAGAACATGAAAATGCAATTATTGTAGTAAATATAAACTGCTAAATACCTTTTCTCATTACCAGTATATATCAGTCTTGTGGCTTCTATCAGTGTCCAGCTGAGCACTGGTTAAAGCTTGTAGGAGGAGTTTTCATTCTCCTCTGACTGTCCTGTAAGGCTGCATGACCCCTGACCCTCTGTCCGGACAGTGCTGATTGGCTCTGTGCTGATCACATGCACCCTCCCAGGAAAGAAAAAAACTCTCTAGCAATACACACCAAACTGAGGCTCTGTACTAGCAGCAGATGGACTGGGGACAGTAGAAGAAGGGGAGGATCAGAGAAGACAGGATCAAACAGCCTTTTTACACAATGCTGAGGATTAACCCCTTAGGTTCCACAGTGAGTATAACAAGCATGCTTTACTACATCTACAGACTGATTGGACTGTTGGGGGTTTAGTAACACTTTAAAGGCTGATTTGGCAGCATGTCTCTCTGCGTGTCAGGAAAGAATACGATTTTGCGAGCAATCCCGATCTTGCAATCTGGTTGTACAATCTTCTTTAGATCTGCCAACTATGTAATATGAGACTCGGCCGGACTGGATCCAACAGGAACACATTTTTTATGCGATGGATCTACGACATGGTTTTGGTAGTTCTAATGCTGTACAAATCGCTTAGGTGTGAACCCGGGGTAAGGATTGCCATACACTTTACAATCTGACCAAACAATCTTTAGATTTACCAAGACTATGTAATGTAAGGATCTATCTTATCCAGGGGCGGACTGACAACTCATGGGGCCCCCGGGCAATAGGGGATCATGGGGCCCCTGTGTCCTTGCCCAAACTCAAAAAAGCCTATGAAAAAGGTACCAGGGGCATCTCATGGGGCCCCCTACTGACCCTGGGCCCTCGGGCAGTGCCCGAGTTTCCAAATGGTCAGTCCGCTCTTGATCTTAACCATCCAATCAGTTTGTATCCGATCAGGCAGGCCCTTGCACCACACAGTTATTGCCAGATCTAAAGGATATTGTACAATCAGATTGTTACATGTGTGGTGAGCTTTAGACAGATCTCTGAGGGGTCACATTTTCATCTCATGCCTATGACTATTTATTTATTTATTTCAGGTACTTATATAGCGCCATCAATGTACGCAGCACTTTACATGTACAGTGGGGATCGAAAGTTTGGGCACCCCAGCTAAAAATTTGTATTAATGTGCATAAAGAAGCCAAGGAAAGATGGAAAAATCTCCAAAAGGCATCAAATTACAGATTAGACATTCTTATAATATGTCAACAAAAGTTAGATTTTATTTCCATCATTTACACTTTCAAAATAACAGAAAACAAAAAAATGGCGTCTGCAAAAGTTTGGGCACCCTGCAGAATTTATAGCATGCACTGCCCCCTTTGCCAAGCTGAGACCTGCCAGTGTCATGGATTGTTCTCAGTCATCGTCTGTGAGGACCAGGTGATGTCAATCTCAAAGGTTTTAAATGCCCAGACTCATCTGACCTTGCCCCAACAATCAGCACCATGGGTTCTTCTAAGCAGTTGTCTAGAAAACTGAAACTGAAAATAGTTGACGCTCACAAAGCTGGAGAAGGCTATAAGAAGATAGCAAAGCGTTTTCAGATGACAATATCCTCTGTTCGGAATGTAATTAAGAAATGGCAGTCATCAGGAACAGTGGAAGTTAAAGCAAGATCTAGAAGACCAAGAAAAATATCAGACAGAACAGCTCGCAGGATTGTGAGAAAAACAATTCAAAACCCACGTTTGACTGCACGATCCCTCCAGAAAGATCTGGCAGACACTGGAGTTGTGGTCACTATTCCACTATAAAGAGATACTTGTACAAATATGGTCTTCATGGAAGAGTCATCAGAAGAAAACCTCTTCTACGTCCTCACCACAAAAATCATCGTTTGGACTTTGCAAATGAACATATAGACAAGCCTGATGCATTTTGGAAACAAGTTCTGTGGACCGATGAGGTTAAAATTGAACTTTTTGAATTGAATCTATGGATAGACCTTAAAAAGCCGAGCCGTGCGTGACAGACAGCCCAGAGATCTCAAAGAACTGGAAGACTTTTGTAAGGAAGAATGGGCAAAGATACCTCAAACAAGAACTGAAAGACTCTTGGCTGGCTACAAAAAGCGTTTACAAGCTGTGATACTTGCCAAAGGGGGCAGTACAAGATATTAACTCTGCAGGGCGCCCAAACTTTTGCAGACGCCATTTTTTTGTTTTCTGTTATTTTGAAAGTGTAAATGATGGAAATAAAATGTAACTTTTGTTGACATATTATAAGAATGTCTAATCTGTAATTTGATGCCTTTTGGAGATTTTTCCATCTTTCCTTGGCTTCTTTATGCACATTAATACAATTTGTTAGCTGGGGTGCCCAAACTTTCGATCCCCACTGTATATTGTACATTCATATCAGTCCCCGCCCCTGAGGAGCGTACAATCTAAGGTCCCTAACTCACATTCATACATACACATACTAGGGCCAATTTAGACAGGAGCCAATTAATGTACCAGCATGTCTTTGGAGTGTGGGAGGAAACCGGAGTCCCCGGAGGAAATCCACGCAGTCACAGGGAGAACATGCAAACTCCAGGCAGGTGGTGCCGTGGTTGGGATTCAAACCAACGACCCGAGTACTGCCAGGCGGGAGTGCTAACCATTTAGCCACTTTGCTGCCCTCAGCCACTGTGCTGACTAACTTGAGATACGTTCATACTAGTAGGTACCAGGCTATGTTACATAGTTACGTAGTTAGTCTGGCTGATCAGTTTGTATCCCATCAGGCAGGCCCTTGCACCACAGTTATTGTCAGATCTAAAGGATATTGTACAATCAGATTGTTACATGTGTGGTGAGCTTTATACAGATCTCTGAGGGGTCAAATCTTACCATTGCCATCTCATGCCTTTGACTAGTTCATGCTAGTAGGTACCAGGCTATGTTACATAGTTCGTCTGGCTGAAAAAAGACAAAAGTCCATCCAGTTCAACCATAGGAAAAAGATAAAAAAAAAATCCTACACCCACAGTCAGGGGTGGACTGACAACTCATGGGGCCCCTGGTCAATAGGGGATCATGGGGCCCCTGTGTCCTTGCCCAAACTCAAAAAAGCCTATGAAAAAGGTACCAGGGGCATCTCATGGGGCCCCCTACTGACCCCGAGCCCTCGGGCACTGCCTGACTTTCCAAATGGTCAGTCCGCCCCTGCCCACAGTTGATCCAGAGGAAGGCAAGAAAAACTCAGCAAAGCACGATCCAATTGGCTCCTGCTGGGAAAAAAGTTCCTTCCTGATCCCCCGAGAGGCAATCAGATATTCCCTGAATCTACTTTACCTATATGTGTATATGTGTTTTAGTCACCGGTCACACCCCTGCGATTGAAAAATCGCACAATTTGTGTGCAATTTCAGCACGATTTCCGCAGACTTTATTTCTACTTGTGAAGATTTTCTACGATTTCTTGCAATTTCCTTTCTATTCTATGTATGTGAAATCGCAACAAAACTGCAGAAAAAGTAAGGCAAGAACTACTTCAGAAATCACGCTGCAGCAAATCGCACGTGTTAAGACGCCGACATTCACATTTATTAGAAGTGATTGCAGGTGCGATTTAAATTCCCAAATCGCATCGGGGGTGCACTGCCTGCAGTTGTTGACTCTAGGTCCAAGTCAAAGTGCTGCTCCACCCCCTCGGAGCCAGCTCCTTAGCAGCCAGTAGGGAGGAGCCTGTGTTGCATTGTGGGATGTTGAGAGAATAACACTTGGAGCTAGAATTCCCAATAGCAAGCAGCGTTGCAAAGATGTCAAATGACATGCCGACATCTCGTGCTGCCCACTCCTGTGGGGTCTGGTAGGTAGGTGGAAGCACTGGACCAATAGGGATAAGAATTGGTTCCAAGGCGCTCTCCTTGGAGAAGGTGAACCCGTGGTGAAATGAGGTATACAATATGTAGGACTTGGTTTCAGTCTTGGGCTGCCACTTCTAGGACCACGGTAAAGAATTCGCTCATCAGATGTTAAAATCTTGGCTATGTTGGTAGGGGAGCTCTTACTTGCAAACTGTTACCTAGCTGGAAGGTTCAATTAAATAAATCAAAGTAATTTATTGAACGAGATCATCAAGTACAGCCAACGTGTTTCAGGGGAAAGGCCTCCCCTTCTTCAGGGCTTTATACTATGGTAACGGCGGGGCTGGGAACTTCAATTACAACGTGGTCAAAAACTCTGATATTCTCAGTTCCAACAAACCTCGTCTTGTGTCTTCAGAAAAGCATTGTACAAAGCCCTGAAGAAAGGGAGGCCCTTTCCCTGAAACGCGTTGGTTGTACTTGATGATCTTGTTCAATAAAAGATTTTAATTGAACTTTCATTGCTAACAACATATCCAAGATTTGATCATCTGAAGTACGCCCCTTCTTTTTAACAAACCTCCTCATGAGTCTTCCAAAAACGATTGTATAATAATAGCCCTGCCTGAGGAAGTGGAGGCCAACGTGTTTCAGGGGAAAGCCTCCCCTTCTTCAGGGCTTTATACTATGGTAACGGTGGGGCTCGGAACTTCAATTACAACGTGGTCAAAAACACTGATATTCTCATTTCCAACAAACCTCATCTTGTGTCTTCAGAAAAGCATTGTACAAAGCCGTGAAGAAAGGGAGGTTCTTCCCCTGAAACACGTTGGTTGTACTTGATGATCTTGTTCAATAAAAGATTTTAATTGAACTTTCATTGCTAACAACATACCCAAGATTTGATCATCTGATCAAATCATCTGATCTGATCATCTTTTAACAAACCTCCTCTTGAGTCTTCTAAAAACGATTGTATAATAATAGCCCTGCCTGAGGAAGGGGAGGCCAACGTGTTTCAGAGGAAAGGCCTCCCCTTCTTCAAGGTTTTATACTATGGTAACAGTGGGACTGGGAACGTCAATTACAACGTGGTCAAAAACTCTGATATTCTCAGTTCCAGCAAACCTCGTCTTGTGTCTTCAGAAAAGCATTGTACAAAGGCCTGAAGGAAGGGAGGCCCTTCAACTAAAACGCGTTGGCCATACTTGATGATCTTGTTCAATGAAAGATTTTAATTGAACCTTCATTGCTAACAACATATTCAAGATTTGATCATCTGAAGAGCGATGTCTTTATCGTGGTCAGAGAGGTAGCAGCCTAAGATCGCAACCCGGTCCTATATACACCTCACTTTCACCATGGGTTCACCTCCTCCAAGAAGAATGCCTCTTCTTTTCAACAAACCTCCTCTTGAATCTTCCAAAAACGATTGTGTAATAATAGCCCTGAGAAAGGGGAGGCCAACGTGTTTCAGGGGAAAGGCCTCCCCTTCTTCAGGGTTTTATACTGTGGTCACGGTGGGGCTGGGAACTTCAATTACAACGTGGTCAAAAACTCTGATATTCTCAGTTCCAACAAACCTCGTCTTGTGTCTTCAAAAAAGCATTGTACAAAGCCCTGAAGAAAGGGAGGTCCTTCCCCTGAAACGCGTTGGTTGTACTTGATGATCTTGTTCAATAAAAGATTTTAATTGAACTTTCATTGCTAACAACATACCCAAGATTTGATCGAAGAACGCCCCTTCTTTTTAACAAACCTCCTCTTGAGTCTTCCAAAATCGATTGTATAATAATAGCCCTGAGGAAGGGGAGGCCAACGTGTTTCAGGGGAAAGCCTCCCCTTCTTCAGGGCTTTATACTATGGTCCCAGTGGGGCTAGGAATGTCAATTACAATGTGGTCAAAAACTCTGATATTCTCAGTTCTGATAAACCTCGTCTTGTGTCTTCAGAAAAGCATTGTACACCTCACTTTCACCATGGGTTCACCTCCTGCAAGAAGAGCGCCCCTTCTTTTTAACAAACCTCCTCTTGAGTCTTCCCAAAACTATTGTATAATAAAAGCCCTGAGGAAGGGGAGGCCTTTCCCCTGAAATCCATTGGCTGTATTTGGTGATCTTGTATCTTGTTCAACAAAAGATCTTGAATGAACCTCCAAGCTGGATGACCTAAGAGGGGGTGTACTGACGAAGTGAGGTGACTGCCTCAGGCACCAATCTGTGGGGACAGCACTGAGACCAGAATGTTCATACAGGACACTCTGTCCTCATTGCAGCTTAGAAATGTTGTCCTGTGTACACAGGGCAGCATTACTGAGCTGGTTGCTAGGACACCGGCGGCTCAGTTGCACATTGCGTCATTGATTGCCGTCTGCACCAGAACAACCAAAGACTCTGTAGGGCCCAGCTGCCTGCATCGTAACAACCTATAACGATAGGCGATCCACCCGATCGCATCCTAGCAACCAATAACAGATACCTGAACAGCGCCATGGGTTGCTAGGATGCTAGTAGCTGAGCCACAGCATCATTGGTTGCTGTGGCAGCATTCTAGCAAGCAAAGAGAGAAGGTCACAAAAACTGTGAGGTGACTGCCCCAGGTGACAATGAATCTGTAGGGCACTGAGGCCAGAATGTCCATACTGGATACTCTGTCCTCACTGCAGCTTAGTAACGTTGCCCTGTATGCACTGTGCAGCACTACTGGGCTGGTTGCTAGGACACTGGCAGCTTGGTTGCACAGCATCATTGTTTGTTATGGTGCAGGTGTCTGTCTGTACCAGAACGAGTAATGACCCTGTAGGACCCAGATGCCTGCATCCTAGCAACCAGTAATGCTGGGCAGTCCATCTGCTAGCAACCTATGACAGACAGCCATATAGTGTCACTGGTTGCTAGGTTGCTAGCAGCTGAGCCACAGCATCATTGGTTTCTGTGACTGTGTCCGGGCAAGCAAAGGAGGAAGATCGCAAAAAACTGTGAAGTGGCTGCCTCAGGTGACAATCTGTAGGGCACTGAAACCACAATCTCCATACTGGACACCCTGTCCTCACTGCAGCTCAGTAACGTTGTCCTGTATACACTGGGCAGCACTACCGGGCTGGTTGCTAGGACACTGGCAGCTTGGTTGCACAGTATCATTGGTTCTTATAATACAGGTGGCTGACTGCACAAGAACAACCAATGACTTTGTAGGGTCCAGCCACCTGTGTCCTAGCACCCAGTAATGCTGGGCTATCCATCTGCTAGCATGCTAGCAACCAATGACAGACAGCGTCCTTGGTTGCTCTGTTGCTAGCAGCTGAGCCACAGCATCATTGGTTGTAGTGGCAGTGTCCTAACATGTAAGGGTTGTTTTTGCAGGGTCATTGGTTATTATTGTCCAGATAGCCATCTGCACCTGAACAAACAGTGACTCTGTAGGACCCAGCAACGATGGGTGATCCACCCCCCGACAGCATCCTAGCAACCAATAACAGATACTCGTACAGCCTCATAGGTTGCTAGGATACTAGCAGCTGAGCCACAGCATCATTGGTTGCTGTAGCGGCATCCTAGCAAGCAAAGGGAGAAGGTCACAAAAACTGTGAGGTGACTGCCCCAGGTGACAATGAATCTGTGGGGTACTGAGGCTGGAGTGTCCATACTGGATATTCTGTACTCACTGCGGCTCAGTAACGTTGCCCTGTATACACAAGGCAGCATTACTGAGCTGGTTGCTAGGACACTGGCAGCTTGGTTGCACAGCATCATTGGTTGTTATGGTGCAGGTGTCTGTCTGTACCAGAACGGGCAATGACCCTGTAGGAGCCAGCTGCCTGCATCCTAGCAACCAGTAATGCTGGGCGGTCCTAGCTGCCTACATCCTAGCAACCAATGACAGACAGCCGCACAGCGTCATTCGTTGCTAGGACTCTAGCATGTGAGCCACAGCATCATTGTTTGCTAGGACTCTAGCATGTGAGCCACAGCACCATTGGTTGCTTGGACCCTAGCAGCTGAGCCACAGCATCGTTGGTTGCTAGGACTCTAGCAACTGAGCCACAGCATCGTTGGTTGCTAGGACTCTAGCACCTGAACCACAGCATCGTTGGTTGCTAGGACTCTAGCAGTTGAGCCACAGCATCGTTGGTTGCTAGGACTCTAGCAGCTGAGCCACAGCATCGTTGGTTGCTAGGACTCTAGCAGCTGAGCCACAGCATCGTTGGTTGCTAGGACTCTAGCAGCTGAGCCACAGCATCGTTGGTTGCTAGGACTCTAGCACCTGAACCACAGCATCGTTGGTTGCTAGGACTCTAGCAGCTGAGCCACAGCATCGTTGGTTGCTAGGACTCTAGCTGCTGAGCCACAGCATCGTTGGTTGCT